ATTTTGGTGCAGTAGCACGAGATAGCTTGATTTCAAACTTTGAATTGAATAAAAAATGACAAGTAAGCAGTCAGTTATAAAATAAGAACAAATAAAGAAATTACTAATGATGGCACAAATAAAAAATAACGATAGGCCTAAAAATGAAATAAATAGCTTTTTAGTTTTTCAGGTAGGTCTATAACAGTAGGGCTATTAAGAGATTTTTTTTTTTTTTACCAATTATCCAAATAATGTTTAGTCCTAGAAAGCTATTATTATCAGAACACGTGAGCATAACATAGCGGTTAGAAGATCACTGAATGAGAAGGCAGCTTTATGAGTTGCCCATATACCACACCATGTTACAGCACAGTAGGGCTATTGCAACAGAAACAATACTGTACTACATAGATGTTTCCTGTTGGCTCGATTTTTTGAGTGGACTTTGCTGTTTCGATGAGCATGAACGGTAGAGCCCTGCATCTTTAGCCCGGGCCCGATGTGCCCCGACTTTTTTACGCCCCTCGGGCCGGGATTCGGGCCAATTTTCACGTCAGTCGTCGTTATTTTAAAAAACAAAAACTTATATTTAACGAACAAAAAATTAACTTAAATTAACTTAATAAAAAAAGGAAACGAAATATAATAACTTTGCCATTACATACAAAACCGAACTATTTTAATAGCTGAAACAGTAGTATAAGCTGTTTTGGGAGAAGGGGAAAAAAAGACGGGCTCGGGCCGGTAATTCTTATAAGCTGTCAGACACGGGCCGGGCTAGGGCCTGAGCGTTTCGGGCCAGGGCCTAAATTTGAGGCCCGTGCAGGGCTTTGATGAACAGTAAATGAGTGGAGCGCTGAGCGGAGCGCACATGCATAGAGCGGGATAAAACGCAGAGCATCACACCACGTGAAAGTGAACTAATTTTCGGCAGCCGGAATTTCGGTGCATCTCTAATTATTGGAGACATCAGAAATGGATATTACATAATGGATGCTTTTTTGAACATTTTAGCAATTTAAAAAGATTTTAAAAAAAGATTTTTTTACACGGCACCCCGGTTGGGAAACACTGACCTAGAGGACCACGTACCATGGTATTTATTAAAATACCACTACCACATATCACCCACTGAAGCCTCGGAAAGGAGGGTTTTCCCCAGATATGGCAACCTCGACAGAAAGATATGCGATTTCACTGGATTTCCTGTTTCCGGAATTCCGCACTTGCTGACTGGCTGTCGGCGAATGAAATAAACAAAGACCTACAAATCAGACTCCAACACCTCCTCTCCTCACCTGCAAACATGGACACTGGTGCGTATGTGTAAATATTGTCTCTCGCAGCTCGTAGGTGCCGGCTTAGGGCTCAGAGCTTCACAAATGTTGATGTGAATGGAGTAGCATTGTGTGGCTAACTAGCCCGAGCTGTTTAACTACTACTACAGCTGAAAGTGACTAAGCAACGCTGTGAGGTCGACTTTTAACTCTTGAAAGCTTATGCTCGAGTTAAATGACTCGAGTGACGCTTTGAATGGGATAAAAGGAGTGCGTACGTGTAATTATTTGAAATGGAAAGGTATGTTGTGTGAAAGATAAGCCGAACTACAGAAACGATGAATAGAGTCCAAGTGAAGTCAGAGAGCTGGCTGTCAATCATTTCAGGCAGTATCTGACAATGGCATATCATTCTATCAAACTCTTGTGTGTCACATGAATAAAATAGAAAGTTATACTTGTCAGTATTTCTCAACATTCATGATTATGCAATACATCAGTAAAGGTTTAAAGGCACAGTGTCACACTCACTGTCCATCCTGGTTTGTAAATTGAGAGCTTTTGTTTTGTGTTTGTGCCCTTGTTTGTTGCCCAGGCCTGAGTCAGGAGAAAACATCAGCTTTTATCAAGCGCTTCCGCTCGGAGCCACGGTATCTGCTCGCCCAGAACGTCTCGACTTGCATTGATCCGTTAGAGGTGTGTCTGCACCGGCAGACGGTCCAAGATACAGTACACGTCTTCCAGCACAGCATTCCCACAGAGGGCAAACCAGTCACCAACCAGAAAAACTCAGGTACCTACACTGTGAGGAAAATTGAGAAGTAAAGTTTAGTAAGTGAATAGTGCATCTGACAGATATTCGGTAAAATAATCTAGGCCCACATAAGATGAAAGTGACAGTCATATTAATGGTCTAGAACAAGCTTACAGTTAAATAAAAGTAACTGAAACTTGTGTCTTTGCACAATGAAGTCCAAGACTACTGCTGAATGTTTTCTAAAAATCAGCAAAACATCAACGATTACATGGATGCTTTTTTGAACATTTTAGCAATTTAAAAAGATTTTAAAAAAAGATTTTTTTACACGGCACCCCGGTTGGGAAACACTGCATTTAGTCATATGAGATCAAACGACTACACGACAACAAAAATATTTGTCGACAATTTTTTATTGTCAACGTTGTTGATAATATCGACTGATCGTTTCAGCCCTAATTATATTACATAAAAAATTAACTAAAACTATAAATAAAAAGATATATAAAGACATAAAATAATATATAAATTCAAGCCTGTCCCTCATTGAAAAGCCTTAATTAAAACTGCACTCCTCAAGCTGTAGGTTAAAAAACACATCAATATAGAACAGCCTTTCTACTGCATCCCAGATCATCCCAAATCTGCAACAGCTCTCAATCATTAAAACATTCTTTGCATCCCATGTTTCCCTCTTTACATGTCAGGATGTGTTTTTTAATTAAAGAGGAAGTAGGCAGGTTGATCTTAGGTAAACCTTCTCCCCAGGTCCTGAGACAGCTTCAGAAATGGAGATAGGTTGTCTGGATGAATGAAAGCTTTCGAAACATTAAAGAAAGTTGTGCTTCGGTAAGCCCTGAGCTTTACACACTCATGGGAAAAGTTAGTGGAAATGGATTCCCAAAATTTCAGAAGGAACTTTAGTGATATCTCCTTTACTTGGGAGCTTGGAGGAGGGATGGTCGAGCGTGTAACAAATATCCCTTTTAAAACCAGCTTTGAGATGGATACAGTGCTATGTAGCACATTTCAGCTGAACAAAGTCGAATGACAGAATGGAAGTCAGCAAGATGAATTCGTCTCATCACAGCGGTTCTCAATCCTTCAGCGTCAACATGACCTAAGACAGCGGGACATCATGGAAGCTGAACTGGCAGGGCTCTGTCACGTCAAAACCATCAGTCAGGGGCTGTGCTACATTTAAGGGGATTTCTATCAGAAACTTTGAGGTGTGTTGAGCTTGACATCACAGACACAAAGGCTTTTAGATGGGCTAGAACAGCAAGTGCTCTTGTGTGGATCAAAAAAAGAACAATATGTTTTCTTTTCCAAGCTCAATTCATTAATTCTCCACCTGATTATTAAAGTCTGGACCAAAATGATCAAGAATATCTGACCCTGAAGTCTACTACTAACATTTACATGTCATCTAAAGCAACTTACAATAAGAGTAATAGCAGGAGAGATTAATCAAAAAGAGAAATCAACACAAGTAATACTAACATGAACAATATAACCTAAATGTATGCCAATGAGGCAATATCACGCAAGCTGGGTTGCTGTTGTACTGAATATAAGTTATTTTGCAGTTCTTTAAACATTCATATCAAGTAATTTGCATTTCAGACTAAATTTGACCTGCTAGGTTTTTTTTTTTTTTTTGGACATCAATGAAAATATTTCCAAATGAAGTCAAAGTTTTGCATGTTGCCAAGTAATGTACAGACTGAAGCAGAGCATGTAAATAGGGATGCACTGATATTTATATTTATGTTATATTCGATAACCTGTGAATGGCTTATAAAAATTCTACACTATTTTTTCAAAATAAATTAAAAATAAAAGCACTATAAACTGAAGTCAGTCATTTGAAATGCTACAAGTCAAGGCATCAAAACATTATAATGTACAGTATGAAAATCTGTTTATCTATTTAACTGTGTTATTCAATTATTATTATTATTATTATTAAAGAATAACCTTAGGTAAGGGTTAGATGAAGGCAAAAGTCAAATGTCAGCCGATAACCGATAGGGTATCAGTATATTGCACATCCTGATATGTGACCCCAATTAAAGCACTCCGCTCCATGTCCACTCCAGATTTTCCATTTTCTGCTAAACTCTCACTCCATTGTCACTGGTGAGCGTAAGCCAAAGAAAACAAGGATAGTCCAACTTTCCGAAAACATACTTACTCCAGCCTCCAGGCAAAATTACACAACCCCACTTGAACTCCACACTGCTCATTAACCATTCAAAACTAACTGTTGTATAAAAAATAAAATTTTATAATGTTAGTCCTAAAATTATGAAACTGTCAGAAAAAGAAACATGTTGATATATCAATATGTGACTTAATAAACATACAAAGCATTAATAATGTCAGGCAGGTCATCAACACTCCTGAGAGAAAGTGTGGAGGTGGCAGACAACTGCAAAATGCTCAAAAACAGCTGTGATGACATCAAAACCTTTCCTGTCATCAGGGGGCTGCAAATCATTATAAGCATCATTAAAGTGTAATGTCTGCATGATCACCTCCACAATTTCTTTTAAAAAATAAATCTTACCCCAAACTTTTGAACTTTTGAGGGGCTTAACAAAAATAGAACCTTCAAATGAACCGTAAATAAACCTTGTGTATGTTATACAAAAAATTATATGTATTTTTTTAATAAAAAGATATATTCATAAACATTAATTATATTTATATTTTATACAAAAAAAATCTTACAGGTGGAGGTGGAGGAGGTCTTTGAGGGGGTGGGTCTTTAATAACCTGAGAAGAGAGAAAGAATAATTCTAAATGAAATGAATCAAAGTTAGTTATTGCTGTCTAAGGACCTGATTCACAGTTGAACAACTGGAGCCTGGCACCACCACAATTGATTACAGGGATCTGCTTGTAAACTAACACTGTAGGGTCCTGGTGCAAAATAAAGAAAGCCCAAAAATCAACTTGTTGACAGGGGAGTCTTTGGGGTGAGCACAGTGGTCTGTTTATCTCTTAATTAATTGGACGATGTTCAACGCTCCCCTGCAATCCCCCAATCATAAAGTCCTGAGGAATTAATTAGCTGCAATGAAATGCAGAAGGGAAACTTGGGCTTCACTCCAGGCCGATCCCCAGCGCAAAGGAGAGGAGAGTTAACAGGATGAGATGACTTCCTGTAGCACTTTCACATTTTCACAACGGGGAAGTTGTGGCCTAATGGTTAGAGAGTCGGACTCGTAACCCAAAGGTTGTTGGTTCGAGTCTCGTACCGACAGGGATTGTAGGTGGGGTGAGTGAATGTACAGCGCTCTCCCCCACCTTAAATACCACGACTGCGCTCTCCCCCACCTTCAATACCACGACTGAGGTGCCCTTGAGCAAGGCACTGAACCCCTAACTGCTCCCCGGGCGCCGCAGCATAAATGGCTGCCCACTGCTCTGGGTGTGTGTTCACGGTGTCCACTTTGGATGGGTTAAATGCAGAGCACTAATTCCAAGTATGGGTCACCATACTTGGCCACATGTCACGTCACTTTCTTTCTGTGACTGCTTATCTGTCACGAGAAACACTACACTGGATTCAGCAGGTGACTTTTCTCACAGACAAGATGTCTTCCTCACTGGAAATGTCTTTGGCATCCCTTGATTCTAGTGTCGTCAGATTAGTGATCGCTCAGCAAACTGCATATCAACTGACCTGACACATCTAACCACTCTTCAACATGATGGATAAATGTGTTACTAGACAAAAGTGAGTTTGCGTCAGAGCAGCGGCCCAGCAGTTGAGCTTACGTGGGCGACACAAGTTTGACTCCAATGTCATTTCCCAGTCCCATTCACTTCTCCTCTCATGAGGTTAAAGGGCAAACTACTGCAATATAATGGCTACATATGTCATTTGTAAAGCTCGGCATACTTGAGCCTTTGTAACTCACAGAATAGACTCCAACAATCTAGATAAAACGACTCGGAAGTGACCATGTTTCACCTGTCAACCATGTAACCCCTTCCATTGCAGATGCTTTCCAAAATGGAAGCCTTGTCTCATTAAACATGAAAGATGGATACACTGCCATTGCAGGTTAAGCATTTACTAAATTAGTTTTCAGGGAAAAACTGCCTTTTAATCATCACATATCATGGGTAGAACAGCTGTTTCATTCACATTAAAGTGCACTGATACCATTTCGCCATTGTTACCATTATAATGATGGAAAATTATCAGTTAGAGTTAATTAATTGCTCTTTGACTGACTGTTGGAAAATCCAATCCTATCCATCCGTGGGGCCCCAGCGTGTGATGATTAACATAACTTTGGACAGAACCTTGTGCTAAAGGATTAGCTTTTTTATTGAGTAATTAAAGAGCAGATTTATATTTGCCAGACATATTGTGGGATAAATAAGGCATTACACAAATGACATGCTGGGCTGTTAGGTTCTCAAACTACCTGACGGACAGATGTGAAGCCGGGACAACCCTTTAAATGTGGTTCGGACGATGAAGAGCTGATAATTAAATCCAAAATGTCAGTGTATTTAGCCATCTGACACTCATACGAGGGACTAAAAACTAGTGGCACAGCTGTGGAATCAACCAATCACAGTCCAGCAGTGCAACGTCCCCATATGGCTTTCGGGATAATTGTCCAATTGGAGTTTATAATCTGTCCATTTCACCCCTCTGAACACACTGTTGTTTCAAGCTGTTTCCCAGGCTTAACATGATCATGGACAAGTAGCAGGTAGCATATTTGCAAATTAAAATGGTGCATTACCATTAACATAAAATTAACCTGTTTGCAGTAAAACAACAAATTAATGACCTATGAGTGTGGTATCAGACCATAAATAAACAGATGCCTTTACCCAAATACAATGACATGTTTTATATTTAATAAAAAAAATAATAATTTAGAAATAAAATTATATTTATTTATTTACATTCCAACATTTATATGTTTAGATTGTCCACTGTAGTCAATTTAGTCTTTGGACGACCTGTTTGATGGCGCAAAAACACATACTTACATACTTGACCTTCCAATTTCTTATGACCTTTCTTACTATTTGGTAAAATTTTGGCATTTCTGCAAAAACTGTGTTGCTGTGGCTGTGGATACTAATTTGTGTGTTTCGGGGGATGAGGTGCTTCTGTATTGCTCTGATTGCTGAAAACTGGCATGGCTGAGTTTAAATATTAACAAAGCACACATGGCCCTTCTCTTGTGCCGGGGTCCCTGATGGAGAGGAACAGCAGCTCTTCCACCAAGACAAACAGGGCCGAGTCCAGACATGCTGCGGGGGGTTTACATTTTAATGCCTTTGTTGGTTTTCCAAAATATGCTTCCATATCATCCTGGAATGGCTCCCGCCAGGTTTTCAAAGAGAGGTGGTGCATATCATTTGGTGTTGCATTGACGCTGATTGCCAAAGCGATACTCACCAGCTTCGAATTCTATATATTTTGTAAGTGCACCATCTGTATACAGTATACAAGCAAATCAGAGCCGAGCAGTGGCGGCTCGTAGGGGGAGGCAGGGAAGGCACAGCTTCCCCATAATTTTGAGGTGAAAATGGGAGGAGGACGATTTAATGTTAATAAAATTCACAATTCATTTCAGTTCATGTCTCAGAATGTGTATTTTTTGTTTGTAATTTCACAGTTGTCATAAATAAACGTGAAAGCGCCGCTTTTCTATCGCAAATGTGTGATAGGTCAGGTTAGTGAAATTATATTATCTTGCTGTATGTATGTCGTTTTCTTTACGTTTTCTGACTAAAAGCAACCAAAAAGCCATTTTAAAGTGGTTAAGCAAATAATAATAATAATAATAATAATCGGCAGGGATCCCAGACCAATACAATTAGTGTGCCTCCTCTATTTTAAAACCCACGAGCTGCCACTGGAGCCGAGAAGCATAGCTGCTTTTTTATTTAAATTGTTATTTTAAAGGGGTCATATGATGCTGCTAAAAAGAACATTATTTTGTGTATTTGGTGTAATGAAATGTGTTTATGTGGTTTAAGGTTTAAAAAAAAACATTATTTTCCACATACTGTACATTATTGTTTCTCCTGTATGCCCCGCCTTTCTGAAACGCGTCGACTCCAAAGAGAAAGGAAAAATTGAAATCGCATCATATGATACCTTTAAATATAGGAGAGTGTACTTTGTTTGGTTTTACTTTACAGCCAAACATTTGAATCACAAAAAAAATCACAAAGCACCAACAGGAAAAGAGCTTCTTCTTTTTTTTGTCACATATGAAATACTTATGTATTTTTAGCAGCTGTTCTGGTTGCACACATCAGATGAACAGTCAGGATGTGGTCAGGTCTATTGCTGTGCATTGTGCTTCCCTTGAAATGTACAAATTTGACGTTCAGCCACAACAACTAATAAAAAAAAACCTTTATAAGCTAAATGAACACCATAAGAAAAGTAAACCACTACTGATTTCTTATCTTACTATAAACGAATGATGTAAACCTCATGAGAATTTACAGTTAAAGTACCAAACAGGAAAGTATAAATAATGAGAAAAAAAACATGTTAATGTTAATCTCAATACCAGTTCAATCTCAATTCAGATTCTGTAGGTGAAAAGGGACAAAATTCACATTGGGATGCTGGAAGACATGTGACACTTACAATAGTGCAGCAGAGAGGCCAGAACCACCACATCAGAGCCAAAGCCAACAGGGCAAAGAGCACCAAGAACACAATGGCCACCACTGTGCCGTCCGACTAATGAGAGAGGGAACATTTACAGTTGGCTTAAAAACAGGATAACAGCAAGATGTTATGAAAACAGAACGAAAACAAAGGAAATACTGCATGCAATATAAATCCAATTTTTACAGTTATAAATTCTGTTATAAGTATATAAACTGAAGAGACATTTTTCCTTCTGATCTCATGTTTGACTTACACATGTGGAGGCAGTGATGGTGAAAGTACTGGAGATATACGATGTGCCACTGTTCAAACTGATCAGAACCTCCATTTGTCTATAGGAAGAGAACACATAAGCACATTGGAATGGTACTTTTTATTTTATGCTAATAATTACACACTGCCTTGAATAAACTTTGAAAATATAGTTACTCTTCAAACACAACTGTATATTCTGCTTTATTTTTCAGAGATTTTTCTGTGAGATTTTTCACGGCAGAGTGACGACAGTTACAGCAGAAACGGAGAAGCAAATATAAGGAAGGAGTCCGATTGGGAGTTATTTAGAATGTGATGTAATTTCTGATAAATATAAGTGTGTCATAATAGGCAGTGTTTTACAGATAAAAGTAAAGAAAAAGGGAATGACTTTAAAGGGGAAGAAAACTAAAAACTCAATAAAAAAGTAAACAAAAATAGACAAAAACTGAAATGAAATTAAAAATTAAAACTAACAGAAGCTAAACTGAATTGAAAATAAACCAAATATACACATATACATATATATATATATATATAGAGAGAGAGAGAGAGAGAGAGAGAGAGTTCAAAAATGATACTAGTGATGCTCAATGGTGTCATGAAAATTATTTGCAGTTTAATTCCTACAGAATTTGAGTTGAAATTCTCTCTTATTTACTGAGGAGGGAGTTGAAGGTGGCTCGCAATTAAGGCACTAATGATGAACGGCATTGTAATTTCCATATGTCTATTATGCAGGAGACAATTACCATGGGGCTAATGAGAATCCTCAAGCAGGAAATCGACTGACTGAATGCCTGAGATCCTTCCCAAAATAAGAGAATATGTAAAAAAGACAGGCCACTGTCTGCAGAGCCAATGATGACGCAGTCGAGACATAGCAGAATAAGAGTTATCTACAGCAACCAATGAAGATTTCACTAATGTTTGGGTCTTGCGCAAAGTATTACATATGAGACCGGCAAGGCTCCATCACATACAACACCAACTGAAGAATGAACTTTTCCCATAACAGCCTAACCCACACTTTAAAATCTTTCACAGTGCTGCACTGTAATGCATTTTTTTGGTCTCTTGAGGGTTTTTACATGATACTAGCTTGAATTGTCATAGCCTTTTTTAAATCTATTCCAGAGGCTGCAGGAAGCTTGTAAAGGAATTTTTGCATGTTAACTAGGTCCATGTGCTGAATGGATGAGAGGAGAGGCTAATTCAGCTGACATACTCAATACATGCAAATGAGAGGCAGACTGCTAATCAAGCTGGATATGTATGTTTGGTGAAGAGAAGAGAAGCGATCCAACAAATGATTTTATTTCCTTGCACTTGACACTCTAAAACTCCTCAGATTACCTTTTTTCGATCTTTGTTGGACACAAAGTAGTTCTGGAGAAACATTTATGTGATGCTTTGTGAGAACTGATTACATTGAATCAGTATTCTTGGACACTGCAATTGGCAACAAACACCACAATCAATGAAGGCTGATTTATCTTCAGAGGTACTCTGAAACCACAATATGTGCCAGAATGTTCCATATCAAAGGAGGAAACTTTGTGCTAAACTCTAAAAGGCATTCCCAAAAGGTTCCCAATTACATTTATATTGAAATCAGGTGAATCCCATGCTAAACATACAAAGCTGTTCCTGAAACTGACTGCCTCATCTAATGGTTTTCTTTTGTCAAGAAAAGCAGAGTAGAATAAAATGTGACAGAAGTTCAGCAGAATGAGTCAAGCACATGGACACAAAAGTGCTCTTGCCGTCACAGAAGGCCCCTCATAGCACAACAGGAGACTGAGAGTGGTGTGTTAGTTTGATTTCTTGTCACAAAGCACATGGTGACAGAAACTGAAAGTGACGTAGCTGAATCGGACGAAACGGGTGTAACTAACGGTATTATTGCATTATTGAAGGCCTTAACATATGCATCAGCCCTCACAGACTGCAACACAATGCAAAGTTTCAGCAAAGTTGCTGCCAAGTAATGACATCACATTGTTTTGAGAAAACAAGGCTGTATGAAATGCTACTGTACTACTATTTTTCATTTCATTTTTTAACTGTTTTTGTGCCAAGTTAAAACTGTTCTGATTACAATATATAAATTATACCATCTTACCATTATACCATCAGTTAGAATAATTAAAAAAATATTGGCACCTTAAATAACTTCAATTTGGTTAGCTACTTCTTGTTAGTAGCATGTAGCATACACTACCAATTGGGGATGTATAAGGATGTATAAGGACGGTTTTCACAAAAAAAATATTGACATTTGATAATAATAAGAAATGTTTCTTGATTTCTGAAGGATCATGTGACACATTTAGCTTACAATATATCAAATATTATAATAGAAAACAGTTATTTTAAATTGTAATAATATTTAACATTTTACTGTATTTTTGATCAAATAAACGCAGCCTCAGTGAGAATAAGAGGCTTCTTTCAAAAACATTTATAAAATCTTACTAAACACAACAGTTTGAATAGTAGTATAACTAACTACTTTTCCACAAGAATACACTGTTTGTATATCCAAGTTCAAATTATGATTAGCTGGTAGCTTGGCAAGTAGCTTTCCAAAATTGGCGAAAACATCCAATATGACATAAGATATGAAAAGCATCAAATTTAATTGAAAAATGAATAAACCATTCAGCATGTCATCCGCCTTCCATTTTAGAAAGACTGACCATCTTTTTATCATCTAGCAGAGTGAGAGGAGGAGCTCTGGTGGAGGCAGCGCTGCCATGTTATCTGGGCGCATCTCCCACCCCATGTGTAGATAGAACTTAAATGGTGGCCTGACAGATCAGATTGATTATTGATGAGGCACGTTCCACCACTCGTGCTGCAGGCAGGTGTCAGGTCTGTCCCTCAGTTATTTTCCTCACTCCGCTGTTGTTGTGAAAACGCAGGTGAGGACATGCATAGCTGCTGCCAGACAAAAGTTCCTCACCCCCTCCAGCCAAAGACTCTAAGGGACGGGGCCGGCCAGTGCTAATGGGCAGGCTGACAGATGCCCTAGATCCTGGTCTGACGAACCAACAGCTGTCGTTGCAGATGAGACCTGATATCTGGCGCTACGTCATTGAACCACAAAGACCATTTAAATCCCCAAAAGACACTATTTTATATTACCTAGTGGACTGTTCAGCAAGGATTGTTCAGGACAACTCATATACAGTATGTTTGCATATATGCTATAAATGACATGACTTGTTTTCTGGGTGGCATATCCTGGATATGCTTCCAATCAAAAATATGCAGTTTTCTGAATGCAAACTGGCCAGATGCATAGACACATTCAGAGAGTGGTAGGAAAAAGACACCGAGAGAAATTTCTAGCAAAGATGTTGCAGGTGTTATGTGGTAGCCTATTGTCAATATGCGGTGAATTATTCAAATGGGAGTGTGGAAAAGGGAATCGGTGCATCTGTCGCACATCCTTTTAAAGCCCTCCACCAGATGTGTTTACTAGCCGTTCATAGCAGCAAACTACTTAATGGGTCACAGTTGCCAGCCAAGAGTTAATTAAGCAAGCCTTCTGAATGGCGACCACGTATAGGGGATCAAACGTCCCGGTTAAGTCAGATCATAATTTCACACAAGCTGCTCACAGCTAATCCCAGATCTACACAGGGTGCTGCGTCTCACAGTTATTTCAATAACATAATGCTGTACCTTGACATTTTAGGCCGGTGTATCACACAATAATTTAATTGGGTCACAATGTTGTAACTTAAAATTTGCGCAATAGGCTGTAACTCTCGGTTCAAGTGGGGTTGAAATGACACAAGATACTTTAAAGTACATCTGCCTTCTGTACATCTGGAGATCTCAGTGACACTTGCTGCTTTATGAAACATGAATACTCACTGTCCCACTGAATACAGCACTGGAGCAGGACACAGGACATAGTCATTCTTCACCTTGCTTGGCTTCACCTCTGCAAAATGAATAGAAAGTTGACCGTGTTATGATTCGCTGCCAAACTAGCTAGAGAACAAACTCCCCCCAAGATGAGTACCGCCAGGCCATTTGTTATGATGTAGAGGCTCACTAGAACTGCTGACGTGTGCAGTCGAGTTTAGGGAAGAGTGCCATTTTTTTCATCTCACTCAAAAATGATTTCTTTGTCGCATCACTGCTGAAGGCAACCAGAATTCAACGTTTATGTATTTCCTGTCTGGTTACAAAAGCATTGAGCAAGCATGTGGATGCCATATGTAGATCTGTCATCTAACGATACTGCACTCATGAAGGAAAAGCCATTCAGAGTCTGGTAGGGACAGAACTAAAGAGCTAACTGCAGTGGCTATATAGCATGTGGCTGCTTATGGAAAACCATACATATATGATTTTTATACACAGTTAAATAAATAGTTCACACAATTTACAATAACATACTTAGCTACATATGATACCAAACCTTTATGACTTCATTTATTCAGTAAAACACAAATGAAGATGTACTGAAAAATGTCCATATAATAAAGTGTCCGTACGATGAAAGTAAGTGGTATGTAACTCTGTATGAACCACAGAGGCATTTTTCAAAATATCTTTATTTGTGTTCCACATAATACACATTATATCCACATAATAAAGTCATACAGGTTTGGAACAACATGAGAAAATAAAAGTAAATTTTCATTCTGGGTGAAATTTCCCTTAAAAAAACTGAGCACAAAAATACTGTTGCTTTAGATCAGTGGTTCTCAATCTTTTTGATATGTGATCCTGGACCACAAAATCAGTCTTAAGTCGCTGGGGTATATTTGTAGCAATAGCCAAAAATACATTGTATGGTTCAAAATTATAGATTTTTCTTTTATGCCAAAAATCATTAGGACATTAAGAAAAGATCATGTTCCATGAAGATATTTTGTAAATTTCCTACTGTAAATATAT